GGAATAACCTTGAGAGACATTTTCTGTGTCCCACCACAACTCAAACTGGATTTTTTTTCTTTGTTGGATTTGGCGTGTCAACAGCGATTTGTTTACCCTTTAAAAGTCACAGAAGCCATTAAAATGGTCCAATTGTACCAGAGCTGAAACAAACAGCTTTGCTACTGGGCTAAAACTGACCTTTTTAAATCTTGATACCCCAAATATTGAAAATGGACAACTCCCAAAATGGAAGCTAGACAAGTCAATTTGAGACATTAAGCAGGTTACCGGTATGGTATAATATTGATTTCTTTTTAGGGAATCGGTATCCTTAGCTTAAAAAGCTTTTCACAAAGTAAAAGTACAATCATGACATTTGGAAAATAAATTGTAAGAAAAGTCATTTTGTTCAATTAAAAAAAAACATTTTCATGTCCACAAAATAAAATGTATTTACAGCAAGAATTAGATAGAAAATTATTTTCTTTCAAGTTTTGTTATGCGTTATGAACATAAAGCCACCATTGAACACTTCTAGAATCTACTATTTTCTATTCTAGGTTACATTATGGCTGTGCCTGGTAAAAAGGCATCTCAGAAACTGTCATCTTCACTATCTCGAGGTGGTGCTGAAGATTTTGACATATTCTGTAAAATATGTGACAGAGATGACATCAGACTACCTGCCTTTGGTTATTGTGTGGATTGTGAGGAACATTTATGTCAATCTTGCTTTAACACTCACAGACGACCAAAACCACTACGCCATCACCAACTTCTAGATAAAGATCACATGCCACATACACAAAACCTCAGTAAGTCAATAACATCTACTTCAGGTAAAAAAAGTGGTGATTTATCAAAGCCTTGTACCAAACATATCAAAGAAGTGATCAAGTTTTACTGTCATAACCATAATACACTTATATGTAGTGTTTGTGTGATCCTTGAACACCCAACCACATCCTGCAATGTAGACTACATACCTGATATATCACGACAGTTTTTAAACAGCATGGAGTTCAAAGAAACTCTTAAAGATATTGACAAATTAACAGACAAATGTTGCCAGATTACAAAAGATTCAAAACAAAGAGTTGACATATCAACAATTTCTCTTAAAGATGCTATAGTAGAAATAGAAAACTTTAGAGAAGAGATAAACAAGAGATTAGATGAACTAGAAAAAGAAGTAAAGAATATTGCTACAACAATTCAACATACCAACAACAAAAAGTTCAAAACAACAGAAACAGTGTGTAATGACATCATCAAATCACTCCAAGCATCAACTGATACTCTAAAACATCTCAACACCAACAAGAAAACTGACCAACTATTTACTGAATTGAAAATAGCTCAGCAACTGATATTACACAATGAAAATATAACAACACAACTACCAACAACCAATGATGTTGATGAATACACTTTTGAATCCAATCCAGCAATCAAAAAACTCCTTCAGAATGAGAAATCATTGGGAACATTGATAAAAAAGGAACTAAAGAAACCACCCCAACCAAAGGATAAGGCTGCATTACAAATGAAAATGTCTACCCCTAGAAACATCAATGCTAAAACATCCTCAGATAAAGATGATTGCTGGATTACTGGTATAACTGTCTCTCCTCAGAACCAATTATTTGTAGCAGATTACAATAATAAATCAATTAAAATGATAGACATAAAAAGTGGAGCAATCAAACAACTACAGCTTGAATCAAACCCCTGGGATATCACCATGGTGACCAGAGATACACTTGCTGTTACATTACAAGTCATTAATACAATACAGTTCATTTCCTTCTCCTCAAACTCTCTCTCATTGAAAAACAAACTGAAAGTAGATGGAGAGTGCCGTGGAATAAGCCATCATCAGGGGAAACTTGCAGTCACCTTTTTATCTCCTGATAAACTCCAAATCATTGACTTGAAAGGTAATATTAAAATTACAGTTGAGAAAGATTCCAATGGTGACAGTATTTTCAGTTACCCTTGTTATGTCACCACAAACAGCCATTCAATCTATGTATCTGATACAGGCAAAAATGCAGTTATATGGTTTAATTGGCAGGGAGAGATGATAGGAAGGAATGTAGTCATTGGAAGTCCAAGGGGCATTTCACTGTTAGATGACGGGTCCTTGTTTGTGAGTGATGGCGGGAATAAATGTATATATAGAGTTAGTGGTAACTGTAAAGACAGGACAACTGTACTGGAGAATGTAGAGGGTCTTCAAGCTGTATGTTGGTGTGATGAGACCAGAACGCTATGTGTAAGTACATATACAGGTACAAAGAAGGACAATGATATAAAACTGTATAAAATGGTGTAAAACCAAGAAATGACAACTGATGCATTAAAGGATAGACAAGACACTACTATTAAGGAAGTACATCAATCAACCAGCATTCATGATCACAAAATTTAAGATTTCAGAGAAATAATTAGCAACATTATAATAATAATGGTATACAATATTGTTTCATTTTTGTTGATCTATGTATATATGCAAACTAGTAAAACATATGTTTATATGCATGCAATCATTTTTTTTTACAAAATTAAACCAGGGTTGGAGAGGGGGACTTTTCCATTGATGATTAATGATACTGTTTTCTTTTGTTTTGTCTTGTCAGATTATAAATTTCTCTTTCATTTTTCAAAAGAAAATAAAATATTTAAAATAATTAAGAGATATTTGCAGTTTAAAATATACTTTTTAAAGGTTTTAAAGTAAAATGAGTGAAATTTAGGTAGTATTATAACTTAAAATGAATTTATTTCTGACACAAGATGTTAAATCAAAATGAGTTTTTTTTGGCACATATGTTCAGAATTATTATTGAAGATAAAGCAATGATATATAACAAATTTGACCGGATTTCTGAACCCATCCTCTTTTCTATTTCATGCTGGTTTTAATTAACTTATATTTTCTTTTTCAAATATGCTTTTCTTTGATTTTGTTCATTATATAAATGTCCTTTTTTCAACTTCTACATTTAAATAGAGATGGCATAACTTATAAATATATCTATTCTGTAGTTGATGAAAACATGTTTATATTTGATCAATATAAATATATTTGAAAGACAGATCCTGTATGTTGTAATTGAGGTTGTATACCCCACTAAAGAATGCAGGACAAAACCCCACACATCAACACCACATACCTCAAAATTTTTTTAGAGTGGACACAACCCCACACTTAATTTTATAGAGTGGACAAAAACCCACACCTTCAATTTTACAAAGTGGACAAAACCCTACACCTTCAATTTTACAAAGTGGACATAACCCCTAGATCAATGAAAAATATTTATATGAAAATAACAGTTTTAAGTGTTAAATATTTTGTTATTTCATACAACACTAAATGATATTTTGTGTTTGAAACCATAAAAGATGTTGATTATGAAATAAAAAAGTTTTAGTGTTAAATGTTTTATATTTTTAAGAAATAAACAACAAATGATTTTTTAATTTGATCAATAAAAGATATTTATTATGAAATAAAAATTTATAGAGTTGACTGTTTGGTTTTTATTTGTTTTAAATATATACTTTGAAACAGTCCTGCGTAATAATAAATTTTCCCGCATAAAAATGCCCTTTACATCAACTTCAAAGGCCTAAAAACTTTGAAGAAATGTGGAGTAAAATTACCCCGACTTATGGAAGAGTCAAGGCAAAATACCAACTTTTTAAGTCATAATATACCCGACTTATGGCCGCGTATCTATGGTAGACAAGGTGGTAAACTTTGTTTAGTTTTGTTTTTTTGACAATTTGGAGGTCATTTGTTTTAAATTTCAATGACATTGCATGCAAAACTTCAACCAGGAGTTTTCTAGTTTCAGAAAGAGGCTATAATTCTGCTTTATTAATTGTTCTAAAACAGTCACATTCAAATATGAACCTGAAGTCATGTGTGAATTAACAAGTAAATACATTAACTGGTTTTTAGGATCAATCTTACATGCAAAGTTTTCGTTCAGTCAAAATCATTTTAGAAAGGTCATATCGTCGAAATGACTTAACTCTTCACATGCAAGCTGCAATAATACATTACCTAAGCAACCAGTGCAGTCTACTGTAAATTTACTTAATTTTGTGGGCCTGAAATTTTGTGGTTTTTGGTCATTTAGAAGATTTTTGTGAATTCTTAAATTCTTTTTTCCCCAAAGATAAAATGTAAATAATGTGATGCAAAATAAGCGTACAGCAGACGAAATAAAATTTCGTTGGATCTTAAATTTGTCGTCTAATCTATCCACAAAAGACACAAAAAATTAGTGCCCCACGAATAATAATGATTTACCAGTACATTGTATTCTAAGTAAAAACGTTTTTCATACTGAAACCCCTTAAGATAACAATGGACTGTTCTAAAAGTTTCCAACAGGACAAGTCCATTACACAAATATAGTAGAGACAGGGTCAAATTACCTTCATCCAGATAAGGATTATATAGATCTCCCTTGACAACCTCGTAGAACGCTTTCATCATGCCATCAAAATCTTCCCTATCAGCTGCTCTAGGTTCTAACATTACAAGTTTACGAGTTGACATCTTATTCCATGATCCTGTAAGCTGTAAATTTAAACGGCTGCGTTTCATGGAAAGTCCTTAGTCTAAAATATGTCTCAAGACCAAAACTGAGAAAGAAAATGGCCTTACTTGTGACTCCTATGTTAAGACTTTTCAATTATTTCTAAATAGCTATGCACAAATGCTGATAAACTTTTACACATAGAAAATTGAAAAGCATGGCATTGTATTTTTAACTATTCTCTGGAGAATGACTTAGATAAAAGTAAAAAAAAATATTTATTTAAAAAGTTTTAAATAAGTCCTATAGTTTGACATAAGTCCTAAGGTACACTTAGGACTTTCTGTGAAACGCAGACCAGCTCTTTTATGATCAGTTAAACAAATCTTTTACAAGAATGCTACGTAAGTTGTCATTGATTCAGTGCAAAACATTTGTACAATATATCGTTATCAGATTTCAAATATTGACAGTAAATCATTATATATAATTAATTACAATGACTTGTCTATGATTCGCTTTGATGCCTGTTTAAATGATTTCATTAAAATACATGTTCTATTCATACAATTATAGTGTGTCTTGTTTATAAACGCCCATGATGATTTCCCCTCCTCCAACAATTTTTTTTGTTTGGGTCGTCAGACCAAACAAATAATGGTAGCGAAATTTCAGACCCTGATGTTCTTATTTGCAAATGCCGAAAGTAGTCCAAACTCCTCGAAACGGTTACTTCCCTTCATATGTACATTAACGCCGAAAAATTAAGGGGAGATTACTGCGTAAAGATTGTCAAATGACAGGCGCATTAATTTTCGTAACGAAAGAATAGTTCCCGACTGGTCGAAGATTTCTAATATGGTGTAATTCCTATAGATATACATGTTTCTATTCAGCTCCATGATTATTTACTTCAGTGTCAAACAACAGGTTTACCGTGAACAAAATATATCGAAATAAATAAGGGTCACAAACTCTAATAAGAATAATATGGTATTCTTAAGGCTGTTATCTTATACCTCCCCGTGGCGAGGGGTTTACACGCTCACTTTAGAAGCGAGAGGTCCGGAGCTCAAATCCCAGTTGAGGCAACTCGTGTTGTTGTTTTTATTTATTGATTGAACTGAATTCAGGGTTGCAATTAGTCTTATAGCCAATTTACTATAGTTATAACACTGGAAACATAATTTGGTGACATTTTACAAACAAATTGGTTTTAATCTCATAACCTTAACCTTTCTGACATTCTGAGTCCCAAACAAATTCAGCGCCTTCTGTGCTTCTGTGCTTTGATTAACATCTGTCATCACTGATTTCACATTTGTACATTATTTAACAAAGCATAGTTTTAGACATGGACCACCTGCTTCTGTAAATATGTTTTGTTAATTTTCATTATTTCTATACATTTAATTAATAAAAATTATCCAATTTTTCAAATTTGTATCGAGAATTGATTGACAGAAAAATATTGATGATATAACAACATTTTCTTTATTGACTAAGTTTCCGATGTTTGTTTGGGTTTCATGTCACACCGACACAGTATAGGTCATTTGGCGACGCTCCAGCTTTACTGGTAGAGGAATAGCTCAGGTGCCCCTCCGTGCATTATTTCAGACACGAACAGGCGCCTGAGTAGAACAACCGACGTTCCGTAAGCTAGCTGGATAGCTTCCTCACATGAAAGAATCCAAAGTCCCTGTCGTGATTCGAACCCACAGCGGTGAGGGGCAAGTGGTTTGAAGTCATCGACCTTAACCACTCGGCCACGGACGCCCCAGCTTCTGATGTTGAATAAAAGAAGTTTTCTATGAAATGAAAGGAACAAGAAAAATTTCAAATATAAATAATTTCACACCAAAAATAAAACATTTCACAATCATTAAAGATCCTGTAACACATTTTTTTTCATGGTTTTATTTCATAAAAATGATGCTCAAATTAACATATTTTAAGTTCCAATAAGCATTATTTACAAAAAATATTACCGAATTTAACATTTCATGTAAATAAAGGGAAGTAATTAAAAATATTTTTTCTATAAGTTCTAAGTCAAATTTTCGAATAAGAAATGAATGCATATAATTTATTTATTAAAAATAATGTGCACAAATATTTGCAGTACACATTTTACGTATTCTTCGATGTTTGAAAATTGTTTTATTTGCATACTGATATACATATATATTTTTTTGCAAGTGTGGTATACACACAGTAACAATATCAATCACAAAACATACAGGATCTTTAATTTCACAGTTAACACGACTTTAAAATCCACAATTAGCAAATTCACATAATACAAACTTTATAGAATCAAATTTCACAGATCATTAATTCCATACAGAACGAATATTCAACAATTATTCACTAACGTGTGTTTTGCATGAAAAAAAAAAAATCTACAGTGTTCTGTAGGACGGCAGGAAACACAGGCACCATGTGGAACTTTCTATGAAATAATAAACATATATTTACATTGAATTTTGTTTTGTTTTTGTATGACATTGCACCAACAAAGTATATGTCAATTTCCAACTTTATTAGTGGAGGAAGACCCCAGGTGCCACTCTGTGTATTATTCAAGCATGATTTGGCACCCGAGTAGAACCACCGATGCTCCGTAGCTGGATAGCTTCCTGAAATGACAAAAACCCGAAGTCCTTCTTAAGATTCGAAACCACAGCAGTGAGGGGCAAGTCAACAACCTTGTCCACTCGGCCATGGACGCACCTCTGTCATGTTTTAAGGCATTAAGTCATTTAAGTGAAAATGTTGAGTGTGCATGTAAAAAAAATCATTTAGCTCAAAGTTTATATACTGTTTATATTTTACTTCACATGAGTAAACAGTTACCTAAAGGAATGGCTATAAATATCCTTCAGGATTTATCGGTTACATCCGAGTGGTGTAAGAAGTAGGACAGTCTTTATATTTAAGGCAGTTAATATATTTTATTCTAATTATTTGTCTGAATCGATCATTAGTTATAATAACTGTCAAACAATCACAATATATTGTTAATTCAGCTCAACTTGACATCAAACACAGCACGATGTCTCTTTATCTTATTTGGTTGTTAAGACAAAATGACACAAAAGTCATGATAGCATTTCATACTTCAATAGCAACAATAAGGGCATTAATTCACCAAACTTGTGAAGATTTTAAAATACATAAGCAAATTGTGTCTTTTTGGAGACCTACTCAGCAAAAAGCAGTGGCAAAATACATTGTATTAAGTTATGAAACTAAACAAAACTGTCTTAAATATATAAAGTTGAACTGTCAATGTATTTATATATTAATTTATTTTTGGCAAAAGAACTGACAGTTCCATAGGCAAAAATGCAAATGTTTACCCTTAAATGCTGCTCAAATTTTTCCAATGATTTTAAACTTCCTATTCGGCTGCCCCTCGTCTAGCCAATGAACCTAATTTTATGTGCACAAAATACATGTATCCCAAATGGTCTGACAGCATCTGTTTCAAAAAGGTAATGAATAACACTAAAGTAAGCATTTACAGTTTATTTCTACCTTAATTTTGCCAAAGTAGCAATATAATATAGAGAAGGGTTTATAGAGACCTTAACCCGACTGGGTTCAAATATTTTTTAACATCATCCAACTAAAACTTTATGTAATTGAAACATAATTTACTATAACAAAGTCATGCACTAAGTAAGTCTGGATTAAATTGCAGCAGCAGTTTTTGAAAGGTAGTCCGGACAAGTTTTGTGATGGACGGACAGACAGACGTCCTCAAATTTTGATATTTAACTGACTACTCTTTTGTTCACTCTCGGTTTCGTTTAGTTATGTAAGAGAAAAAGAAGACACGTTAGAGCTAACTGAATGCTTTGTATTCAAGAAAATTTACTGTTACCTATTGTTTCCATTGTATCTACATGTTTTACGGACATACAGACGAACGGACAGGCGACGGAGAAGTGATCCCTTTGTTGCCACTCTGTTGTATAGGCAACACAAAAAGAATTTGTTTTTTTTGCAAAGATTTGTTGAAACCATTTATTTGTTTGCTTTTCGAAAAAGTAAAAAAAGTCCACCGTTGATATAACAACTACACAGAAAACGACACAAATCCTCAGATTACAAATATCTTTCACGTATGCACCTTCAAAAATATATGTTGGCCTTACAAACAAGGGTCGCTTCCCTTACTAAATGTACACTAGATTTGAAGTAACTGTTCTTTAATATTCCTTATGGCATAAGGTATACACAGTATAAATGATGATTTGATAAAAATATATCAATTTATTCAAAATGTGATTAAGACATCGGATGAGAGAACAACATTTAAAAAAATATAACATAGAAATATATTATATTTTTTTCCAGGAGGTAAATTAGTGTAAATGCTCATTAAAACAACTATACACAGGTGAATGCTACACAGAATATATTTTAGCATTCACAATCATTAAAGAAAAAAAACTTTTTTTCCTGTTTCAACTACACATTCATGAAAATAAATCCTGTATTTATAGGGGAAAAAACTTAAATATTCTCTATTTACTCATGAACATGTTTATTGTATTATTATAACAGGTACGGTATATTAACGTACACCTGGAATATACTAAACAGGTCTTCAACTCTAATAAAAATATTTCATGATTTATAATAAGAACAAAACCTGCAAATCAATATAGCTGATATCGCCAATTAAAGATGTTTTAAAAAAGTGTTGGTCTAAAATATTGCTATGTCTAACTTACAACAAAGGAACTTATGACATTTTCTTAACTTTTAAATATTTGATATTGTCCTGATTATCTCTCTCTCTATTTTCAATCAAGTTAGGACCAATAACTACTAAAAATACTTCATAAAACAACCAATAATGCACATGCTGTATTTTCAATATAATGGGTATATTCATTTATTTACAAAGAACTTTTTAAATAAAAATTTGGCAAACTTTGCAAGTATGATTCCCGGAGTGAACCCACGGGTTTTTTAAAAAAGAAAACCAAAACTACATCTTCACAAACAATTCGAGGGGGTATTAAAAAAACTTTAAGTTTAAAATAATATCATGAATAGTATATTAAACATGCAATGGAATAATAATTATCAAATTTTCTTAATGACATGCTCAATATGTGATAAAATTAAATATCAAAAGAGTTTTTTTTACTGAGATTATGTTATAAATGGGTTTCAATAATAACCCCTTAAACTCCTTGAATGCCAAACAAGATTTTGCAAGTAGCCCACCGTCTGGTTTTAAAAAGGGAAATGTTTTTTAAAAATAAGATAAAAAATTAAAACGGCGGGGATTTTAAAAATATTTGTAAAAAAGTGGCCCTAAAAAGTCAGTTCTAGTTTAAAAAAAAAAGGTTTTTAAAAAATTTTCTTTTAAACACAAAATTTAAGGAAACCAAGGGAAAACTGGGCCAATTTTAAAAAAGTTTTAAGGGGCAGAAAAATTTCCCGGACTTTTTTTCCAAAAAATCATAGTCCTTTTTTTGTCGGGAAAAATAGAAAGGCCACCAGCGGGCCCAAAAAGAAAAGATTTAATTTGGAAAGGGGTTTAATTTCTTTAACTTTAAAACCCTTTAGCCCCCTTAAATGCCCCCGGGAACCCAAATTTTCTAAAAATAATAAAGTTATAATTAAAATTTAATTTTGTTTTTATTTTTTAAAAATTTTTTTAAAAAACATAAAAAGGACAGTCTTTTTTTTGGTTTTAATTTTGGTTTTTTAAGTGAAACACTTTTTTTTCAGGTTTTAAGGTTTCTTTTTTAAGTTTAAAATATAAAAAAAAGGAAAAAAACCCTTAAAAAGGGGGAAAAGACCTTAGGGGGCCCCTTTTGTACTTTTATTTCAGGCCAAAAAAAGGGCACACAATTTTAGAACTTTTCACTTTCCCTTAAAAAGATGGGGGATGTGGGGTGTACTTTTTCCACTGGGGACTAGAAAAACCCTTTTAACCCTTAAATATTTAATAATTTTTGCGGCTTTGGGTTTTTGTTTTGGGGTTGTTTTTTTGGGTTTTTTTTTAATTTGGGGCCCCAAAACCACTTTGGGGTCATGGAATTTTCCAGTTTTTACTGGTGGGGGAAAAGCCCTCGGGGCATCCCCTTCCGGGGCTTTCTTTTCCCAACAAAAAATTAAAACAGGCACATAAGTAGAACCACCACCGGCACTCCATCGGCTATCTCAATAACTTCCAAACATTAGATCTATGTCAATTCGTATCACACTTAAACTAAAAAGGTATAAAATTATAAAGAATGTTGTCAAAAAAACAAGATTTTGCCCAGTGAGGATTTTGTTTTTAATTTTGATATAAAAAAGACAAGTACCTGTCCAGCTGTATATTGCGAGGAAGAATCTGCCAGCAGAACTCTAGCTCCAATCACTGTATCATTCTTACATTGTCTACATTGTAAATACTGTATACAACATCCTAATGTCTCGTCATATACACTGTTCAACAATAAACCTGCAAAACAAAAATATGTATACAGTAAATTTTGATAGTAAAGACTAGCTTTGGGAAATAAGAATATTAAATGTTGTTTTCTGATTCAGCAGAACTGGTTTGTTTTGTAAATAGAAACTTAAGTCTCGTAAGATAGCTGGATAGCTTCCTCACAAAGAATCTTAAGTCTGTATTTGAACCCTTTGGCGCGAATGGAAAGCACTTTGATGTCAATGACCTCAACCACAACGGAGACCCTTACAGTTGTGTTCAATCTTCTCTGTGTTCAAACTTCAACAATAAAGGTATTTGAAAAATCCTTTTCATTCGAAGAACAGTTTAAAATTCAAATGCAAGGTTACTTTTTATAATTAATTAGACAAGCAAATACACGTTAATAACCTTTGTTATTTGTTTCAGAATCAACTGTTTGTAATTGGCAATCCTTGGTCTTCATGTTGGGAAAATATATCAGCTCTGTGTTCTTCTTGAAAACACAAGACAAAAATTCTGGATGTTTTTTCTGCTTCTCATATTGACCTAGTGGTAACAACTGTTTACCACATTTTATGCATGATAAACACTGGTTTCTGGCCTGAAAGATAGGAAATGAAGCACAAAATTTATAGCAATAGAAAAACTGTTATAAAACGTTAATTTAACATATAGAAGGTTGTTTGGCTTTTTTTAAAAATACAAATGTATTCTTCTTCTTCTGCAGGTAGAGGTAGGAAAAGGAAAATATCTCTTTATGCACTATTCACTTCCTTGGGCTCTTTTAACCATTTTTAATTGCAGAAGCCCCTAGACACACCTATGTGCTTTATTGTTTATTAGGGCACCAGTCAGTAATAGTAGAGAAAGAAGACCTTCAGCATGCTAGATGAAAAGAGACTTCTTTTTCACACGAAAAAACTTCACCTGGCAAAATTCTAAGCAACAAATCAACCACTGCAAGTGACAATCTTCCCCTCTTCTACACACTACTTGACATGTACTGTATAAGTGGTAAAGTTAGCTAGATGGAAATATTGGCGAATTTTGCGAATTGACGAAAAATCGCTCAAATTTACTCTAGCATAAATATCAATCAACCTGTCATAAAATGCTACACTTGCACGATTCGCTAATATTTCCACACGCGAAAATTCTTGAATTTTTAATTCGCTAGCTTTTTGACACACAGAAATATCTACTTTATAAAGTTATTCATTAAGTGAAAGTAAAGAATTTACTATTATATCTTCATGCATTAAGAATTTTACCTTATTTTCTTTTTCATCAGTGTTTTCATTATCATCGTATGTGACACCTTTTCTGGACCGCTTTGACCACTCTTGAAATTTACTTGTTGATTTACGTTTCCTTCCACCCACGTCTTCTGGTATTGAGAAACTCCTCATCCGAATTCACATCATTACCTTTATAAAGACAAACAATTGCAAAATATATGTAACAATAAGAGAAGAACAATGTTGATGAAGACCATAAGCATAGCTAATTTCTTTTGGAAAATTTCACATTTTATATCAATTATGCTACTTTGTACCAGGACATTGTTCTAACCAACCTTCGCAGCTCAAAACAGTTCACTATCTATGGGAAAAGATGTGCAAGCGGCTGGATAGCTCAGTTGGTAAAGCAGCAGAGTGGTATTCTGAAGGTCCCTTTCTAGTTGCACATTTTTCTCACCATGCAATAGTTTTTTCTCATATAATTGGGAAGAGGCATCCGTATCTTGATTTTGGGGAAAATTATCACTAAAATTGCTAATTTGGGAAGTAAAGAGGTTGGTTTAAGTAGAGATTTTGGATCAAAGAAAAACTTCCTTTGGAAAAAGGCCTTGTATAAGCTACTGTTATAAAGTTGAAAAATCACTGCCCTGTAACATGACTTTACACAACATTATTGTCTACAACTGTTCAAACTGAAAAACATATTAAAAATTTAATGTTTTTAGGCATTTGAAACTCAGTGGAGTTCCTTTAAGAACAAAGAACATTGGTACTTTTGCCTTTTTATTTTAAGGGCAATGTATATGTACAATAATGTTGATTCTAGATAGCTTTCCTAAAAGATTATTTCAATATTTCAAACATTTTGTATGAAATTTAGTGATTTAAGATTTATATACATGTAAAATAAAAACATGAATAAAATAATCACCTGAAGCCGATTCTCCATCTAATAATTCCTCAACAACATTCTTTTTATCTTTTGTTTCTTGTAGAACATCACCTGACTTCTTTCTACCCTGTTTAACTTTATCTACCACTGACATATCTACCTTCCCTCTTGTTGTAGACTTAATCCTTCCTCCACCTTTACTCTCTTCTTTAAAATCATCAGCATTATCTTTTTAACATCATTTACTTCATTAATATTAATTTCTCCATCAATATTACTATCTCCATCTTTTGATGTTCCCTTACAGTCGTCAATCTGAGATTTTAGTGTTTTTGTAGAAAGCGAATCCTTTTTTTTGAAAATTGGTTTCTTCTTCATGCTATGTTCTTTATCTAATTCAGCAAGGTTATTTATTTTAATTACACTGTCAGGAGCTGGTCCATCAGTCTGGCCATCTTCAAAGAGTACAGGTGATGTACATGCAGGCTGTACCTGTCTAGATGTTGATGTAGTTTGAGGATTGTGTGAAGTTTTTGACATAGTTTGTGGGAGACTACCTGGCTCTATTTTCACAGAGTCAATAGTTTCTGTTTTGATTTCCTAAAAACAGTAACACTATCTTAACAAAAATTGACATGTTTTTCTTTTGATAAATCCTCTTACACACAGAATAAAAATATTATTTAACAGTCTTCAAGGGTATAATCCTGCTGTTAACAAGAGCACCACAACAGTGGGGCAGTATGTACACCTGTGTGTTTTTATATTTTATGCAAGCATTAATGTTTATTGACAGACAGGAATGGCGATATATAAAAGGAGCCCTTTAACCACTACAATCTATACATTTATTTCTAGGCCTAACACTTTCATTCATTTTTATTAGGCTTTATGTAATGTAGTAATTTTTTGTCTACAACAGGAGGAACACAAAAGCTGAGTAGAACCATCAATCTTGCATTGCTTTAAGAGTCATGATTAGTTAATATTGTATGAGACAAAAACAACACCACAATGTTGTTATCCTCAGTATTTTTCATAATCAGTCAATTATACTTCATAGAGATAAGTGTAAGTAAATCATTGCAACAAATCTAAACGTAATATATGTATGACAATTTGATATTTGATCTGCAGCTTTTAATTTTTCAGCAGAAAAAGCTCTTACATATTCAAAATTCATTTGATCTAAATATTTCTGGAATTCATTCATGTGATTAATTAAAAACCTGTTCAGATTGTCTCTGAGGTGTAACAGCTGCCACTGGGACTTTAGCTGGGGTTTTTGGAAGCTGGCAAAATTTTAGGAACTTGTTCTGAGTTTCTGGATCTCCTGTAGAAGAATCAGGCACTACCACTTCCTGTTCTACTTTGACTGGTTTTTTGTCCCGCTCTGTTTTGACTGGATCTAGTGTTTTAACTAGTCTGTCATCAGTTTTCTCTGGAAATAACATCAGTACATCAACAAATGTTAACAAATACCTCATGTCAGTCCAATTAAATAATATATTGAAGATATCATCATTTCTTATAAGGTATTGTACAATAAGTGTTTGAATTTACACTTTGTGGCACTTGTTTTAGCTTTGAAAAATAGGTAACATACGCCCCTTAATAACATAACAAAGACTTTTAACTTATCTCAAATGAAAAAAACACAATGCGCACACATCCATAAAAGTCTAGTTTAGACATTAAATATATTTTTATTCCAAAACCACATTCAAATTTACTATCCAACTTAAGAGGACAGAAAAGACAATAGTTTTTTTTTCGTTGCAATATTTGAACCTATATAAAGGAGTAAAATTCATTTGCTACAATTATTTATTACCAGACAAAACGGTAAAAACAAATTTTCAGAGGAGGCTGGAGAATACAGATCCAAATGCAAATTTGCCTGTAACAGGTAGATAAATCTTTGAAAAAAACAGTGTATTATTACCAAAACTAAACATAGGTATTGCTGGTATACATGCCAGCAAAATATGTCTAAAGTCACACCTACAGTCTTAAAGTACTCATAATAACACAAAATCAGATATCTTGAGTGTACATATTACATAAAAAATCAAATTACATGTAATTACCTGCTTCAATTTTCTTTTCCGTGTTAGGTTTAGATTTTCCTTTTTTGTTTGGTTCAATAAAGAATGCCCTCTCATTTGTCTCCCCTTTATTAACAACAACATAGTAGGCCTGATTTCGTGGAGCTTGACTTGAACTAACAAATTTCTTCAGTTGTTCTTCTGCACTAAGTGTGCTTGACCCAAGAGTGAACACTATATCTGCTTTCTTTTCTTCTTTAGACACATTTTCTGATTTTATACCATCTGTGGAATTTGTTTTGTCCAGCTGATTACCTCCCCTGAAATCAGATTTTAGACTGGTTCCCGGAATAGTGGCAGACTGTGGCAAGTTGGTTCCCTGCACCGGAAGTTGGGGCATTGTCAGTAAAATAGTTTGATGCTGACTGGTTCCAGGCATGTTCAACACCACTTGTTGACCTGCAGCTTGTGTTAAGGGTACAATCGGAGGAACCATTGATGGCATCTGGGCGGGCATCTGCTGATTGCCTAAATCACATAAAACAGCAAATAATAAGATTCATGTTTTTTTTAAATATTCAATAAAAATCTGAATATTCTGAAAATATCTTGTGTATATACATGTACTAGAAGGTTTCAGAAGCATTAACTACTAAATAACATTTTTATGCAAAATTTTCTTGTATCTAGAAAAAAAGAAAAACTTAAAAAGAACTTTTATTTAAACTCTAAAGACACAAAATTTTGATTTCTTACATAGATCAGCTGAGGCACATTAAACAGAAAGATTTGCAAACAAGAGGGCCATGATGGCCCTGAGGTCGCTCACCTGTATATAAGCCCCCAGGGCGGGGCCAATTTTTACCCAAGGGCTTTTATTTGAACAAACTTGGTAGGCATCCATTTGAAGATGTTTCATGATAACTATCTAAGCTCTAGCTCTTAGAATATTTTTTTTTAGTTTTTACTATACACATATAGGGAAAAACAATGACCACCTCTGGGCGGGGCCAATTTTGTCCCCAAGGCTTTCATTTGAACAAACATGGTAGACACTCACTAGAAGATAATTCATGCTTAATATTTAAATTCTAGCTCTTTGGGTTTTTTAACAGAAGATTTTTTTAAGTTTTTTACTTTATACATATAAGGAAAATCAATGATCCCCGGGCAGAGCAAATTTTAACCCCAGGGCCCTTATTTGAACAAAAATGGTAGACACCCATTAGAAGATGTTTCATGCTAAATATCTTAGCTCTAGCTCTAAAGGTTTTTTAAAAGAAGATTTTACTATAGTTTTTACTATACACATAAAGAGAAACCAATAACCCCCTTGGGTGGGGCCAATTTTGACCCCAGGGCTTTTATTTGAACAAACATGCTAAGCTCTAGCTATTTTGGTTTTTTAAAAGATTTTTTTTAGTTTTAACTATATACAAATAAGGAAAATCAATGACCTCCCAGGGCAGGGCCAATTTTGACCCCAGGGCTTTTATTTGAATAAACTTGGTAGACACCCACTAGAAGATGTTTCATGCTTAATAGCTAAGCTCCAGCTCTTACGGTTTTCTAGAAAAAGATATTTTAAGTTTTTTCTTTCGGTTGCCATGGCAACCAGAATTCTGCATGGAATTAAATTCTTTGAACAAAGTTTTAAAGGTGACCATCAAAGGAACATTTCTGTGAAGTTTGGATGAAATTGGCTTAGTGGTTTATGAGGAGATGTCATTTAAAGAAAAAGTTTACGGACGGACAGATGCCGGACGGACGGACGCCGGACGAAAAGCAATCACAAAAGCTCACCCTGTCACTTTGTTTAATTTTCAAAGATAAATTACTGCTATTTTTAATGGGAATCAAATAATGTAAACTAATTTTTGTCATTTTCAATAATTCAAGTTCATGATATAATAAACTCAATGATTTACTTCTGATCATTTACCTCCATGTTTGTTTGGTTCTATAAGAAATGTTTGTTCACTCGATGTCCCTTGGTTTACAATAATGTAATATGGCTGATCTTTTGGTCCTGTCCCTGAATTAATCACATTCAGAATATGCTGCTGTATATTAAGGGAGGTTACTCCTGTAAGCACCTGTTGCTGTATTGTAGGGGAAGTAACTCCAGGAAACACTGGAACAGATGGGCTTGTTATTGATCTTCTCTTGCTTGAGGTTTCAGGAGTTCTAAATAGATTTTGCAAATCTGGAGACTGACTCAATGGTGGACTTCTGTAATTAAAATAAACAATTCATAATAAAATAACTAAACAAATAATAATAAAATAACATAATAAACTTAAAAAGCTGTGTAATCTTCAAAAAAATACTTTCAAAGGCTGTATAAGCAAGTAATTAAAAGTTTGGCACTAGTGACCTTGACCTAAGTGTCCACTTGCTCCACCGAAAATGTAGGTAAAAGGAATCTGTTAAAGGAATCTACCAACAAATATTAAAAGAAATTGGTCAATAAACAAGATTTTATTTGAGCAGAAATGTAAAAATCTATTTTAAGCATGAATGACCTTGACCTCAGTGACTCTCTACTACACCGTAAGTAAGAGACTACCAAATTGTATTGTATATTCAAGCAGTCTGGCCAAACTAAATATAACTAAAAGCTCAATCTCAGCCTGGTGATTATGAAATTTTAACAGAATTGTTAGATCCTTTCATGTGAGGAAGCAATCTAGCTAGCTTACAGAAGATCTTAGATTCTATTCATGTATCCAACTTTGCCTGAAATTATGGATGTAGAAGCATCTAAGGTCTTCCGTAGTCTTAAACTACAACAAACATAACAAAATACTTACGTGAAATAAGGTGAAGCCTGTATAGTAGTATTCAAGTATGAATTATCTAGTGAATGTCTCTTATAAACAGAATCTCTTCTGTCGTCACATGGTGTACAGGGAATAAATGATGTGTCTGGACTGTAAATAATCAATTAAATCTTTTCACCATAGAGATATGTTTAGACATACAATGTATGTACACCAATGATATGCATATAATTCGTCACATTAGTTCAGTAACAAGTTCTGTCCTTCTAAAATTAATAGGAGTTAACCAGTTATTGCACTAAGTTGACAATAGCTTCTCTTACCAAACGTTATCTTGTCCATCTTTCAACCTGGGAAAAACCATTCAATATCTTTTTAAAAAAGATTTCAAAATAATTTCTTACTAAGTGGTAAACAATGCATACACTCATCAGTGCCAGCCGATCTTAGTCTGCACTGGTCGCACGCATATAAATACAGATACATTAAATATAATCATAACAAAACTTAATATTAACCACAAATAAAGAAAATGAATTTTTTTTCAATCAGAAGCATTTCATATCCATATGAAACGTGAACTAAATTAACAATTTCCAGGATGTTTGGATCAAAACAGTAGCCAATAAACTGTTAACAAGATTTTTTCTATTTATGCTCCTGTGACCTAGTTTTTTATCCGAGATGACCCATGTTCGAACTGATGCGAGCAATTACCTTGACAAGCATCCTGACAAAGTTTGATGATGATTTAGTCAAAAATGTGACCACTAGAGTGTTAACGAACAAATGTGGACGGACGACAGACGATGTCCGACAGACATTCAGCAATACTAAAATCCTAAACTATTTCAAGAAAGGTTCAATATAATAATCTGGTATATACATATACTGACCTAACTTTGGGCATTTCTTTGATCATTTTCTCAGTAAAGTTTGACATGGACGTGAGAAAGTCGGAGAACACATTAAATGTCTGTACCTTGGATCTTACCCATCTTGACAAACCTGTTAATACACATAAAATATACAATGTAACTAGATAATTATGATTAAAAATCCCCTTAATATCTTTGTATACTTGACAAAATAACATTAAATTTTTGTTTTTTCCTGGTCTTCTAAATAATGGAGACAATAATAAGTGTAACATGGTCAATGTATTTCAGGACTGTGAATCATTTGTATTTAGAAGAAAGAAGGCAACACCAAGAATCTGGACTTTGTAAATTATCTGGACTAGACAACAAATTGAATCCTTAAAGAGGAAAATTGTTTGAACTTGACAATATGCCAGATTACAGAGTATATGGATTAGGAAGTCTTTACTGTACTTACTCTTGCAATATTTTTTTTGTTCTTTTTACAAATCTATCATCAACTATGATCAAGGCTCCCCAGTCTTTTCTGTAAGATAAACAAAACATTCTTACATAACACAACCATAATTTTAATTTTCTGTGGAGAATAAAAGTATTTCTTTTATAACTGAGATATAGGTCAATGCGAAAAATCAAAATAACATTTAATATTTCTAAAATTGAATAAACTTCAAAAGTATCCCAATCTATATTTATACCTACCAAACATTTTTAAATATTATAATTTTATTAAGTTTGTATGAACTTACCTGTGTCTTATACACCTTCCTAGAGCCTGGTTTAAGGCCCTAAATGCCTGGATTTCATACCAGTCACCTCCACTTAGAAGTCCTCTATCAATCTTATGTTTGTCGTTGTACTCTCTTTTAAGTTTCACCTGGACATCTTTAAAGCTCGGATAAGGTATACCTACCTGTAAACAATAAACCAATATTAAAGCTAGGACTTAGTATTGCAATTTATCAATAGATAAACATATACCAACATTAAAGCTAGGATAAGGTATACCAACCTGTAAATAGATAAACATATAGCAATATTGAAATACGGTATACCAACCTGTCAACAGATAAACATATACCAACATTAAAGCTAGGATAAGGTATACCAACCTGTAAATAGATAAACATATAGCAATATTGAAATACGTTATACCAACCTGTCAACAGATAAACCTGTACCAATAGTGAAGCTAGGATATGGTATTCCAACCTATAAACAGATACATCTGAGGTTAAAAAGTATTAAGACTGCCCCTCTACTGTTTAAATCATTTTATTCACATAATTAATTATAAGTTCGGAGCTGCTCTCGGATGCCTGGCTCCTGGAATTTGTTTAAACTACGTAATGATTCCTTATTTAAAAACCTACAAAGTAGCTTAAGCAACAAACTCATGACTTATTTTATTCCTTTTTATTCAAGAAATATGAACCTAATTGGACCGAAGATTACATAATATAATTTTTAATGTTATTAATGTTATTGCAGATAATAAAGAAAACCTTACTGTTATGACAGCTCTGGCATTGTCATCAGCAAAATCCATCCCCTCACTAACTTTACCTCGGCATACAGCAAAGAAAAGAGCGCCATCTATCTCTGAGTCATCATCATTACACTCAGCTATAATGTGTATCAAAATATATTATATTATCTTTACTGCTCTCTTTCCACCTATAAATTCTTCACAGAAGTAAAACTCAATTTCCTTCATTTAGTTCAAAACATACAGAATGGACACAAAATTGAAAAAAGACAGACAGACAGACAGACAGACAAACACTATTTCTGAGTATACACTGTGTATTTTTTTACTTTGATCTTCTTTGATCACTTAAAACCCCTTAAGCAACCACCTTCCACGACAATAAACAATTTTTCCTTTACAAATACATGTACAGTCTGTCAGAAAAAAATATGGACATTCATCCTATAAAGTTACCTAGCGCTGGTGGACAAACCATTTGGTGTACATGTAACATTAAATGCTCACATTTTTCCTGCATACAATTAGCACATTTGGCCTGAGAAACAAATAATATTTTACTTTTTTAGATAGGGCAAAAATGATTTTGATAATATTCAAAATAGGTTTTAGAACATGTAAGATGTTTGTTACCTAAAGAAAGTAGTGCTAAATGTGAAGATATTTGTCATAAAATTAGCCAAATGATAATAAAGTAGTATTTTGACTTCCAAACAAAATACTAATCCACTATAACTGTACTAATTGCCAAAAAGCAACAGAACAAAACTATAGTTCTGGTAACTGGTTACTCTTTGAAAATTATAAAAGAACACCAAATATAAAAAAAAACTTTTCAGAAATAAAAAAAAACACTAAAACATGTGAATGGCATAATAGGCCTTTAATAATATAGTTACAGTTATAGCAGTTTGAAGCAGTCAATAGCTCATTGATTAACACTGAGGAAAGAACTAGCTCTACTTCTAAAATTATTATAAAATCACACATTTTTTTACATTAATCATGTGTTCTCAATAAATAGTATAATTTATCATGTTTCGCGATGCTCTTCAGTGTACATGTTCAATTATCAACGGATATCTTATGACTATCACAAATTAAACATGAATTTATCTTTCAAAGTTTAAATACCATCTGATAGAAGGGAGTTCATTTGTTGAATAAGGACATAAATCTTGTACATTTACTACATTTACAGTTACCTTGTTGGCTGGATAAAATCGACAGTAAGTAACTTTATTCAATATATTTGTTTTAAAATTTATAATAGGGGGACAAAAAAGGGGGGGGGGGATGGGCAGGGGTAAGATTGGAAAGATAATTTACTCTGACAAAGTTAATATTTAGTGATTTTTAAAGTTTATAAAGGTAACAGTTTATACATGCTGCTAAACTACATGTATGAATTTATTTAAAAAAAGGAATTTTCTTAACCTTTAAAGTTAAAGTTGCCTTCAGATTTTGTAAAGATTAAGCTAGTCGTTTTTCGATAAATCCTTTCATATAATTGTCACATTAAAAGAATTTAAATGGAAAATGAAATCTTTCAACAAAAAAATACATAAACAATAAGGAAACCCCTTGATACTCTAATCTTCTAGTCCACACCTTATAATTCAATGAGTAAAGGGGGCAATTCATTTCCTGACGAGAAACGAATGTCACTGTTGGTTATAAATAGCTCTTGGGAAGCTGCTTTGAAGTAGGCTTAACAGTGATATGTTCCAAGACAAAAATTATTGAAATATATAGTTTAAAACAATACAGAATTGTTTTTCCAATAGAAAATAAAAGCTGAAGGCCGCTTTAATCCAAGAACATAAGCAACTGACAGTCTTTCACATAGCAACAGTTTATTTTTTAAATTACTGTAAGGATCTGACATTCTAGCATAATTCTGAAATGTACAACAGAATTTGAAATCCAAGTAACATTGTAAAATCCTATAGCTTCAACAAGGAAAGATTCACTTACCTGATTGATCTGAAGGATCACTGTATTGACACTTATTGACTTTGCAATTTAAGCTGATAAAAATGTTAAACTTACCTTATTTTATGGCAGAAAACTGATTTTCTCTTTACATTTTCTGTGTAGCAGACGTCCAAGGACAGACATCTTTGAAATCTGTCACTTCATATTTTATATTGAAGATTTCTTATTGTTAATATCAATTCCAGTCAAATTCAATTCAAGAAAGTAATTTATGTAAAGTTTATTATTGATTAAGGTCAGAAATCCTTAAGTATTCACTACATATTTTTGTATATTAACGATTTTCGTATGAAGATTTTATATGAGATTTCAATATTGCCGCCATTGAAATCCATGATTATCCGGCCGTCTGTCCATTGGAGGATTTCCGGATTTCTGGTGTTTCATAGGTGGATTTCAAACACAGAACCTTATAAAAGTCAGAATCCAACCAATGTTGTCACTTCGGTCTTGACCTCCAAGTAATGTTAATAAAGTTTTAAAACCGCCAAAGTTCAAATTCAGTAAACATCTTACAAAGGTCATTGGTATCCAAACTTGTAAGTTTGCATGTATTTAATCCAAAATTAGTAACTCACTAAACACTGTTGTTGCCGAAATACTTGTTATAAACTTAGAAAACTGTATAAGAGTTGTATTTATTTTTCCCATCCTGACATACGATTACATTACCCTACTAAATTTCCATTGTTATGCAGATATATGAAAATGTATTTGAATACAAAAATAATACAATTGAGAGAATCACTTTTTTGTCAGATAATTAGTCAGCTTTTATCAGTACATTGAAAAAATCTTTTTGATTATATCTTGATTTTTAAAAACTTATTCTAAAATTAAAGAAGATCAGACTTCACGGTGACTGCTCAATATTATATAATGATAATTAATTTTTGTATTCAGAGTGATTATGGCTGTGCCTGGTAAAAAGTCATCTCAAATACTGTCATCTACACTATCTCACGGTGGTGCTGAAGATTTTGACATTTTCTGTGAACAATGTGACAGAGATGACATCAGACTACCTGCCTTTGGTTACTGTGTGGATTGTGAGGAACATTTATGCCAAACTTGCTTAAACCCACGACGACGAAAATCACTTACGCCACCAACCAACTACTTAAATAAAGATCACATTCCGAACATAAACAAACCCAAATAATTCTCTAAATCAATACTTTACGGGTCCACAGGAATGGTAATTTAATCAAAAACTTGTACCAAACATATCTAAAAGAGTGATCAAGTTCTATTGTCATGACCCATTGAACGGCAACTTAATAATGTAGTGTATTGGTGACCTTGAACATCCCAACAAACATCCCTGCCCATGTAAACTACATACCTGAAATATCGGACATGACTTTACGACAAGCACTGATTCAAAGAAAACTCTAAAAAGAATATTAATAAAATTACAGACAATGTTTCGCCGGATCCAAATAGATTTGAAAACAAAGAGTTGCTAATCACAACTCTCTGAAAGATTACTATAACGCAGAGATAGAGAACTTCAGGACAGAGATAAACAAGAGATTAGATGAACTAGAAAAGGAGTTAAAGGATGCTGCTACAACAATTCAACATGACAACAACAAAAGTTGAAAACAACAGAAACAGCCTGTGATGACATCAAACAAATCACTCCAAGCATCAGCTGACACTCTAAAACATCTCAACACCAACATAGAAAACTGACCAACTGTTTACTGAATTGAAAATAGCTCACAACTGATTTTACACAATGAAAAATAACAAAACAACTACCAACAATAAATGATGTTAATGAATACACTTTTGAACCAAATCCAGCAATCAAAAAACTCCTTCAGAATGAGAAATCATTAGGAACATTGATAAAAAGGAACTAAAGAAACCAGCTCAACCAAAGAATAAGTCTGCATTACCAATGAAAATGTCTACCCCTAGAAACATCAATGTTAAAACATCCTCAGATGAAAATGATTGCTGGATAACTGGTATAACTGTATCTCCTCAGAACCAATTATTTGTAGCAGATTACAATAATCTATCAATTAAAATGATAGACACAAACAGTGGAACAATTAAACAACAACAGCTTGAATCAAACCCCTGGGATATCACCATAATGACCAGAGATACACTTGCTGTTACAATACCAGACATTGAAACAATACAGTTCATTTCCTTCTCCTCAAACTCTTTCTCATTGAAACACAAACTGAAAGTAGATGGACAGTGCCATGGAATAAGCCATCATCAGGGGAAACTTGCCGTCACCTTCTTATTTCCTGATAAACTCCAAATCATAGACTTGAAAGGTAATATTCAAATTACAGTTGAGAAAGATTCCGATGGTGACAGTATTTTCAGTGACTCTTGTTATGTTACCACAAACAGCCATTCAATCTATGTATCTGAAAGCGTCAAGAATGCAGTTATATGGTTTAACTGGCAGGGAGAGATGATAGGAAGATATGTAACCACTGGGCGACCATATGGTATTTCACTGTTAGATGACGGGTCCATCTTTGTGAGTGATAACAAGGCTGAATGTATATATAGAGTGAGTGGTGATTGTAAAGACAGGACAATTATACTGGAGAATGTAGATGGTCATCGAGCTGTATGTTGGAGTGCTGAGACCAGTACACTTTATTTAAGTACAGACAGCGACAATACAGAGAGTAACAATATTATCAAAATGTATAAAATGATGTAGAACCAAGAAATGGTTATCAATGTGAAAATAACAAAACATAAACAGTTGTAATTATATGTTAAATGATATGTATATATGCACACAAGTAAAATATATGTTTATACAATGTATGCATGCAATTATTTTTTTTTTACAAAATTTAACCAGGGCTTTTTTCCATTGATGATTTATGATACTGTTTTCTTTTGTTTTGTCTTATCAGATTATAAATTTCTCTTTCATTTTTCAAAAGAAAATAAAATATTTAAAATAATAAAGAGATATTTGCAGTTTAAAATATACTTTTTAAAGGTTTTAAAGTAAAATGAGTGAAATTTAGGTAGTATTATTACTTATAATGAATTTATTTCTGACACAAGATGTGAAATCAAAATGAGTTTTTTTGCACATATTTTCAGAATTATTATTGAAGATAAAGCAATGATATATAACACATTTGACCGGATTTCTGAACCCATCCTCTTGTCTATTTCATGCTTGTTTTAATTAACTAATATTTTCTTTTTCAAATATGCTTTTCTTTGATTTTGTTCATTATGTAAATGTCATTTTTTTTAACTTCTACATTTAAATAGAGATGAGATAACTTATATATCTATTCTCTAGTCGATGAAAACATGTTTGTATTTGATCAATATAACTGTTAAAAAGACAGATCCTGTATGTTGTAATTGAGGTTGTATACCCCACTAAAGAATGTAGGACAAAACCTCACACGTCAACACCCCACACCTTAACATTTTATAGAGTGGACACAACCCCACACTAAATTTTATAGAGTGGACAAAATCTCACACCTTCAATTTTACAAAGTGGACATAACCCCCAGATAAATGAAAAAATATTTATATGAAAATAACAGTTTTAAGTGTTAAATATTTGTCATTTCATACAACAATAAATGATATTCTTTGTTTGAAATTATAAAAGATGTTGATTATGAAATAAAAAAGTTTTAGTGTTCAATTTATATTTTTAAGAAATAAACAACAATTTACAAGAAATAAACAACAATTTACAAAGGATTTTTTTTAACTTGATCAATGAAAGATATTTATTATAAAATAAAAATTTAAAAAGTTGATTGCTTGGTTTGGTTTTTTATTTGTTTTAAATATATACTTTAAAACAGTCCTGCATAATGATAAATTTTCCTGCATAAAAATGCTCTTTACATCAACTTGAAAGGCCTAAAAACTTTAAGGAGATGTGGAGTAAAATTCCCCCCGACTTATGGAAGAGTCAATGGCAAATACCAACTTTTTAAGTCATAATATACCCCTCGACTTATGGATGAGATCGACTAATGGCCGCGTATCTACGGTAATCATTATTTTTAAACGAGATGGTAAACTTCGTTTTGTTTTTTGTCAGACAATTTGGAGGTCATTTGTTTTAAATTTCAATGATTCTGCATGCAAAACTTCAACCAGGATTTTCTAGTTTCGGAAAGGGCTTTAATTCAGCTTTATACAGTCACATTCAAATATGAACCTAGAGTTATGTGTGAATTAACAAGTAAATACATTAGGTGTTTTTTAAGATCAATCTTACATGCAAAACTCTAACTTACCAATGGGTTTTCGTTCAGTCAAAATCATTTTACAAAGGTCATATCGTCAAAATGATTTAACTCTTTAAATGCAAGCTGCAATAATACTTTACCTTAGCAGCCTTTTTAAAGCTGTCCAAGCGGTCTACTGTAAATTTACTTAATTATGTGGGCATGCAATTTCGTGGTTTTCGGTCATTAAGATTTTTGTCATGGACTGTCTATTTTTCAAAAAAGGTAAAATGTAAATACTGTGATGCAAAATAATCTTACAGCAGACGAAATGAAATTTCGTTGGATCTTAAATTCGTCGACTAACCTATCTATCAAAGACACAAAAATGTGTGCCCCACGAATAAAAATGATTTTGCAGTACATTGTATTCTAAATAAAAACTTTTTTTCATACTGAAACCCCTTAAGATAACAATGGACTGTTCGGGACAAGTCCATTACGCAAATATAGTAGAGACAGGGTCAAATTACCTTTATCCACATAAGGATTATATAGATCTCCCTTGACAACCTCGTAGAATGCTTCCATCATACCATCAAAATCTTCCCTATCAGTTGCTCTAGGTTCTCCCATTACACGTTTACGAGTTGACAACTTATTCCATAATCCTGTAAGCTGTAAATGTTTCTTGTTTAGTTAACATATTAATTTTAGTTCATTTCCTGGAACTAACCAGTACTGGTGTCATAATGAGAATCAAGGTTGTGACCTAAGTAGGGCTCGAACCCATGATCCTTGGGTTGAAAGGTAGACACCTTAACCCTAAGGCCATCGCTCCCCCTTCTCTTGTATGATCAGATACATCACATCTTTTAAAAGGAGGCTACTTAAGCTGTCATTGATTCAGTGCAAAGCATATCGACAATGTATCTGTCGTTATTGGATGACAAATATCTATGATAAAACTACATATGAATAATTACTTAGTCTATGATTCACTTTGATGCCTGTTTAAATAATTTCAGTAAAATACATGTTCTGTTCATACAATTTTGATGTGTCTTGGTTTTTTAGCCAATGATTCCCCAAATCATTTTTGACATCACTGCTTTGAAATTTGTCCATTACTAAACAACAGCATAGTTTTAGACATGGACCACTTGCTTCTGTATATTTTGTATGTGATTTTTTCATAATGTCTAGACATTAAATAAGAAAAATGTATCCATTTTATTCAAATGTGTATTGATTATTGATTGACAGAAAAATACCAACGATATGTCAACATCATTTCTATCGATTTATTTTAGATCTTAAAATATAAGAATATTTTATATAATTAAAGGAACAAGTGTAACAATTTCGAGAATAAATAATTTCACATCTAAATTATGACATTTTACAATCATTAATCACACAATTTTAAAACTTCACACAATACAAAATTTATGGAATCATAGAATCAAATTTCACAGATCATTAATTCCACAAACAATTATTCACACACCTGTGTTTGGTATGAAAATGAAAATTAAAAAGAAATTAATGAAAATATTTACCCTTCACCTATCTATAAATTTCTCCAGTGCTCTGTAGGATGGCAGGAAACACAAGACGCCCTGTGGAACTTTCTATGAAATAATCAACATTCATTTACCATTGCATTGCTTTTGTATGACATCACACCAACAAAGAATAGATCATATAACAACTTTCCAGTTTTACTGCTGGAGGAAGCCCCCATGTGCCACTATGTGTATTATTCATGCGCAAATGGGCATCTGAGTAAAACCACCAATGTTCCGTAAGCTAGCTGGATGGGTTCCTGAAATGAAAAAATCCAAAGTCCTTCTTAAGATTCGAACCCACAGCAGTCCGGGGCAAAGGCAGACCTTATCCACTTAAAGCCATGGACGGCACCTTGTCCCAATGTTTTTAAGGCATTAAGCCATTTAAGTGGAAAATGGGTGAGTTGTGCTGTAAAATAAAACTTTTTTTTACCTTAAAAGTTTTATATATTGTTTTATTTTTTACTTCACCATGAGGTAAACAGTTGGCCAAAAGGAATGGCTATGAGACATTTTTCAGGATTTTATCGGTTTTTAAATCCCAAGTGGTCAAGAAGTAGGAACACGTCTTTATATTTAAGGGCAGTTTATTATATTTTTTATCCTTAATTATTTTGTCTGAATCGATCATTAATTATAATAACAGTCAAACAATCACAATATATTGTAATCCCAGGCTCAACCCTTGATATCCAAAACCAAAGCACATGTTCTTTATCTTATTTGGTTGTTAAAGACAAATAAACAAAAGTCATGATAGGCCTTTCATAACTTCAATAGCAAAATAAGGGCAAATTTATTCCCAAACTTGTAAAGTTTTGGGAAAAATATAAAGCCAAACTTGTCTTTTCCCGGAGGCCTATTCAGCAAAAAATAGGAGTGGCAAAATATATTGTATTAAGTTATGAAACTAAACAAACTGTCTTTAAATATTAAAAAGGAACTGTCAATGTAAAGGTTAATATTCATATATTTATTTTTATAATTATTTACTTTTGGGGCAAAAGGACTGACAGTTTCCCTAGGAAACATGGAAAATGTTTTTACCTTTAAATGCTGCTTGAAAATTTCCCAATGAATCTAAATTCCCTATTCGGCTCCCCTCGTCTGATATGAGTGGCACAAAAAATCCCAAATTTGGGCTGCAGTATCTGTTTCAAAAAAGGTAATGAAATACCCCTGAAATAAGCCATTTAAAAAAAGTTTATTTCTACTTTAATTTTGCCAAAATAGCAAGTAATAATATAGAGAAGGGTTTATAGAGACCTTAACCGACTGGGTCCAAATATTTTTTGAATATCATCTATTCAAGCACCCCCCCCAATGATTTACTATAACAAAGTCAATGCACTAAGTAAGTCTGGATTAAATTGCAACAGCAGTTTTTAAAGGAAGTCTGGACAAGTTTTGTGATGGACGGACAGACGTCCTTAAATTTTGATATTTAAGTGGCTACTCTTTTGTTCAATCTCGTGTTCGTTTAGTCACGTAAGAAAAGAAGAAGCCACGTTAGAGCTAACTGAATGAATTGCATCACAGAAAATTTACTGTTACCTATTGTTTCCATCGTATCTACATGTTTTAGGGACAGACGAACGGACGGACGGAGAAGTGAACCCTTTATGTCACCACTATGTTGTAGAGGCAACACAAAAAAAAAATTTTATGTTTTTTTTTAAAGATTTGAATGAAAAATTTATTTATTTGCTCTTTTGGAAAAAAGTTAAAAAAGTCCCCGGGTTGTTAAAACAAATATAGCTAAATTTGTTATGCTTATAAAATGCAGCTTTCAGTGCGTGTTAGGGACTTTTCTTTTTAAAAATGATGTGGCAATATATCAATAATTGATCTAAAATTAATTTTTAACAATAGAAAAATTTAGACGCTTGGTCCAATTACCCTTTTTTACATTGTTCTTAATTGAACAAGGCAAACAATGTCATAAAATCGGCCCGATCAAAAAAGCTTTTTTGAGTTGTGGGCATTTAGATATGCTATGTTATGCAATTTTGAGTTTCAATTCATCATATAAATGATGACTAAATGGTACAGATCTTCTCTTTACATCTTAACCTTGACCTTTCTATGTGACATTGACTTTGGTAGCAGGGACCTGTGCGCAATACTTAGCCTCACAATGTTGAACATTCGTGCCAAGTTAAATTAAAATCCTCTGATGAATGTAGATTTGCTCCGAACAAGCATTGTTCAATTAACTATAAAAGCAAAAGGGACCTTAATCTTTAACATAAAGACCTTGTTCATGCATGTGTCACTGCTGCTCATAGTGGTGAACATTTCTATGAAGTTTTATTAGAATCTCTCCATGCGTGTAGGAGATATGTTCGGGAAAAATCTGTATATTTCATCATGTTTTTACCTTGACATTGCATATATTGACGCAATTACAAGTGTCACAGCCGTAGTAATGACCATTTATGTTACAATCCCTAAATAAATGATAGCTAGATTCTAAATGGGCCTTATACAAATCTTCCTATTTTCACTTGAACTTTTACCTCTATGTGTGTAAGTTATATTGAAATCCCTCAATGCATGAAAGAGTTTTGCTTCGGACAAGCGTTTTTCAATGAGCTCTAAGTGTTTCCTTCACTTCTAACCTAGAGACCTGGTTCATGCCCGCATCACGGCTTCTCATAGTGGTAAACATTTCTATGTAGTTTTTATAAAATCCCTCCCTGTGTGTAGATGAAATGCTCCGGAAATATTGGACGCCGCCCGTCAGATCGCCCGGGGCGTTCCTATAAGATCCGTTTTGGAAACGGGCGTATAAAAAAACAAACACTCTTATTTGAAAGCATCCTTTTTATCACCTCTTTCAAACAAAGAAATATACATTGCACATTACAACAAAACAAAGTATAGTTCTGGACACTGGCCACATTGCTCAGGATATAACAACTACACAGAAAACGACACAAATACTCAGATTCCAAATATCTTTCATGTATGCACCTTCAAAAATATATGTTTGCCTTACAAACAAGGGTCGCTTCTCTTACGTAATGTACACTAGATTTCAGGTAATTGTTCTTTAATATTCCTTATGGCATAAGGTATACACAAGTATAAATGCTGATTTGATAAAAAATATATCAATAATTCAAAATGTGATTAAGACATTGGATGAAAGAACAACATTTAAAAAAAATATAACATAAAAATATATTATATTTTTTCCAGGAGGTAAATTAGTGTAAATGCTCATTAAAACAACTATACACAGGTGAATGTTACACAGAATATATTTTAGCATTCACAATCTTTAAAGAAAAAAAATTTGTTTTCCTGTTTCAACTACAAATTCATGAAAATAAATCCTGTATTTATAGGGGAAAAAACTTAAATATTCTCTATTAACTCATGAACATGTTTATTGTATTATTATACCAGGTACGTATATTAACGTACCTGATTATACTAAACAGATCTTCAACTCTAATAAAAATATGTCATGATTTAAAATAAAACAAAACCTGCAAGTCAACATACAAATATCACCAATTAAAGATGTTTTAAAACGTTTTGGTTTAAAATATTGCTATGTCTAACTTACACCAAAAGAGACTTATGTGATTTTCTTAACTTTTATATATGTGTAACTGTCCTGATTTATTCTCTCTATTTTTAATCAATTCAGGACCAATAACTCCTTAAATACTTCATAAAACAACAATAACGCACATGCTGTAATTAAATATAATGGTAAATTCATTTATTTACAAAGAACTTTTTGAAAAATTCCAAACTTTGCAAGTTTGCGCATTGAACACAGTGTCAAACCAGAAATACATCTCACAACCAATTAAAGGGGGGGATAACTTTAAGTTTTATAATATCATAATAGTAATAAACATGCAATGAATAATAATTATAAATTTTCTTAATGACATGCTCCATATGTGATAAAATTTATATCAAACTTTGCTTGTTTTTTTTTTTACTGAGATTGTGTTATAGAAGATATTGACCTTTAAAGAATGGGTTCAATGATAACGCTTAACCTCCTGATTTTTTGTAATGGATTTGCCCTGCTGTGAGTTTGGAACAGTCTATTCAAAGTTTAAGGTATTCCAATATCAAGATAAAAACTACCAACAGTATAGAGCCTGGTCAAGAGTGTATAGATGCTGACTTGGCTCTATACTTGTGTGAAAGGTCGAATAACTCACTTCTAGCTGGTTAAAGGTTTAAAATAGTTCTTTCTCACAAAATTAAGACGTTTAGGGTGACTAGGCAAGATAAAAGATTGAAGGCAGATCAATTATTGTCAGACTTCTCTATCATAACAGTCCTTTTAAGTCTGAAAATAGCAGCACCAGTCTGTCAAAATGACAAGATTAACTTGGAAGTGAAATATCCACATCATAACTTAGCAGCTGATGACAGAATCCAAGTCTGAAATAAGATAAGTAATAATTAGAAATAATTATTTTCATTCATTATTCGTTTATGGAATAGAAATGGACTGTGTGTGTGTTTTTTGTGGTAGGGTTTTTACGTCACACCAACACGCAAAGGTCAAATGGGTACTTTCCAGTTTTACTGGTGGAGAAAGACTTAAGTTACACCTCTGTATTTCAGGCACAAACGGGCACAAGTCGAACTTTTGTAGTTCTGGAAGATAGGGACTTTGTGTGTCTCTGACTCTAGAAAAGCCCTTTAACTGAAGTATTTATACATGTATATGTTTTGTTGTTTTGTTTGGTTTTAAGTTGCACCAACTCTTTAAGGGTCATGGCGACTTTCCAGCTTTACTGGTGGAGGAAGTCCTCAGGGCATCCCTCCACGCATTATTTCAGGCATTAGCAGGCACTTAGGTAGAACCACCACCAACATCTGGATAACTTCCATATATGAGAGGTCTATTCTTATTGCACTTGAACTCAAAAAATATAAAATTGTAAAGTGTATGTATATTGTCAAAAAAAAAACCAACAAGATTTTGTCCAGAGAGGATTTTGTTTTTGATATAAAATAAAACAAGTACCTGTCCAGCTGTATATTGCGAGGTAGAATCTGCCAGCAGAACTCTACCTCCAATCATTGTATCATTCTTACATTGTATACATTGTAAATACTGTATACAACATCCTAATGTTTCGTCATATACACTGTTCAACATTAAACCTGCAAATTATAATATGTATACAGTCAATTTTGATAGTAAAGACTAGCATTGGGGAATAAGAATATTTAATGTTGATTTCTGATCCCCAAAATGGTTTATTTTGTAAACAGAAACTTAAGTCTCGTAAGCTAGCTGGATAGCTTCTTCACAAAGAATCTAAAGTCTGTAACTGTATTCTAACCCTTTGCCGCCAGTGGAAAGAACTTTGATATCAATGACCTCAACCACTCCGCAACTGAAACCCCTACAGTTGTGTTCAATCTTCTCTGTGTTCAATCTTCAACAATAAAGGTATTGGAAAAATCCTTTTCTTTCCAAGAACACTTTAAACTTCAACTGCAAGATTACTTTTTATAATTAATTAGACAAGCAAGTACACTTTATTACCTTTACTATTTGTTTCAGATTCAACTGTTTGTAATTGGCAATCCTTGGTCTTCATGTTGGGAAAATATATCAACTCTGTGTTCTTCTTGAAAACACAGGTCAGGAATTCTGGATGTTTTTTCTGCTTCTCATACTGGCCTAGTGGTAACAACTTATTACCACATTTTATACATGATAAACACTGGTTTCTGGCCTAAAAGATAGGAAATGATGCATAAAATAATAGCAATAGAAAAACTGTTATTAAACATTAATTTAACAAATAGAAGTTTGTTTGGCTTTTTTTTTAAATACAAATGTATTCTTCTTCTGCAAGAAAAGGTGGGATAAGGAAAATATCTTGTTAAGCACTATTAACTTCCTTGGGCCCTTTTTACCATTTTTAATTGCAGAAGACCCTAGACAAACCTCTGTGCTTTAATGGTTTATTTAAGCACCAGCCAGTAATACAGTCAACTCCGCTTATAACAAACTCAATGGGACATTTAAATATCGTTTGTTATATCCAAAGTTGCAAAAGTAGCAAACATTTTGCTGACTTGTTTGGGTGGATAAATTTGCTGTGAAAAAGGCATACCTGCCACTGTTTACCAGTATAATTCGTATTTTATGGCAGCGGTAATTTAACACGGGTCATTTTATTGAACAATATATTATGTTCATGGTACATGTATTTAGACAGGTAGTGTACCAAGTGTTTACCATTTGTATTCTTTTACTATTTGTTTGTTATTGTTTGGTTAATATTGCACACAAAAATTGGTTATTTGGTAATTATCGTGTATTTACAGCAACTTATTAACTGAGGGTGGGAAATACAAATTAGAAAATTATGTCATGACAACATTTAAACAAAAGGGCCATGATGGCCCTGAAGTCGCTCACCTGTATTTAGGCCTCTGGAGCGGGGCTAGTTTAAACCCCAGGGCGTTTATTTGAACAAACTTGGTAGACACTCATTAGAAGATGTTTCATGATGTTAAGTTTTTACTACACACATATAATGAAAAACAATGACCTCCCCCCCCCCCCTATGGCAGGGCCAATTTTAACCCAAGGGCTTTTATTTGAACAAACTTGGTAGACACCCACAAAAAGATGTTTCTTGCAATCTAACCTCTAGCTCATTGGGTTTTTTAAAAGAAGATTTTTTAAGAGTTTACTATACACATATAGTTAAAAACAATGACACCTCTAGGACAGGGCCAGTTTTAGCCCCAGGTCTGTTATTTCAACAAACTTTGTAGACACTAACTAGAACATGTTTCATGCTTAATATCTAAACTCTAGCTATTTGGGTTTTTTCAAAGAAGATTTTTTAAGTTATTGCTATACACATATAAGGGAATCAAATTGGGGTGGGGCCAATTTTGACCCCAGAGCTTTTATTTGAACAAACTTGGTAGACACTCTTTAGAAGATGGTTCATGCCAAATATTTAAGCTCTAGCTCTTCGGGTTTTTTAGAAGAAGATATTTAAAGTTTTTTCTTTTGTTTGACATGGCAGATGACCCCCGGGGCAGGGCCAATTTTGACCCCAGGGCTTTTACTTGAACAAACTTTGTAGACACCCATTAGCACATGTTTCATGCTAAATTTCTTAGCTCTAGCTCTTTGGGTTCTTTAAAAGAAGATTTTTAAATTTTTACTATATGCATATAGGGAAAAGCAATGACCCCCTGGGGCGGGGCCAATTTTGACCCCAGGGCTTTTATTTGAACCAACTTGGTAGACACTTATTAGAAGATGTTTCATGCTAAATATCTTAGCTCTAGCTCTTTGGGTTCTTTAAAAAAAGATTTTTAAGTTTTTACTATATGCATATAGGGAAAAGCAATGACCCCCTGGGGCGGGGCCAATTTTGACCCCAGGGCTTTTATTTGAACAAACTTGGTAGACACTTATTAGAAGTTGTTTCATGCTAGATATCTTAGCTTTAGCTCTATGGGTTCTTTAAAAGAAGATCTTTAAATTTTTTCTTTCTTTTGGTTGCCATGGCAACCAGAGTTCTGCATGGAATTAAATTCTTTGAACAATTTTTAAAGGTGACCACCAAAGGAACATTCCTGTGAAGTTTGAATGAAATTGGCTTTGTGGTTTATGAGGAGATGTCATTTAAAGTAAAAGTTTACGGACGGACGGGCAAAAAGCGATCACAAAAGCTCACCCTGTCACTTTGTGACAGGTGAGCTAAAAATCTTTATTCTGTGCAATCACTCGATTGAAAAATTATCAGATAGCGGTATTCATGTATTGGTCTTTATCAAGAGCATCCCGATATTTCAATTATAACAGTTTGTTTAAACAGAGAAAATTATCATGTTTTTCGCCGTTTGGAACTTGAAACAATTACTTAAGAGGGCCATGATGGCCCTGAGGTCGCTCACCTGTATATAGGCCCCCGGAGCGGGGCCAGTTTAAACCCCAGGGCTTTTATTCGAACAAACTAGGAAGACACCAATTAGAAGATGTTTCATGATGTTAAGTTTTTACTACACACATATAATGAATAACAATGACCTCTGCCCCCCCCCCCTCTGGTCAGGGCCAATTTTAATTCAAGGGCTTTTATTTGAACAAACTTGGTAGACAACCACAAGAAGATGTTTCATGCTAAACATCTAACCTCTAACTCATTGGATTATTTAAAAGAAGATTTTTAAGTTTTTACTATACACATATAGTTATAAACAATGACACCTCTGGGGTGGGGCCAGTTTTGACCCCAGAGCTTTTATTTGAACAAACTTTGTAGACACTTACTAGAACATGTTTCATGCTAATTATCTAAACTCTAGCTATTTGGGTTCTTTAAAAGAAGATTTTTTAAGTTTTTACTATATGCATATAGGGAAAATCAATGACCCCCTTGGGTGGGGCCAATTTTGACCCCAGGGATTTTATTTGAACAAACTTGGAAGACACTCATTTGAAGATGTTTCATGCTAAATATCTTAGCTCTAGCTATTTGGGTTCTTTAAAAGAAGATTTTTTAAGTTTTCACTATATGCATATAGGGAAAATCAATGACCCCCTGGGGCGGGGCCAATTTTTGAACAAACTTGGTAGACACTCACTAGAAGATAATTCATGCCAAATATCAAAGCTCTAGCTCTTTGGTTTTTTTTTAAAGAATATATTCAAAGTTTTTTCTTTCGGTTGCCATGGCAACCAGACTTCTGCATGGAATAAAATTCTTTGAACAATTTTTAAAGGTGACCACCAAAGGTACATTCCTGTGAAGTTTGGATGAAATTGGCTTAGTGGTTTATGAGGAGATGTCATTTAAAGTAAAAATTTACGGACGGAAGGATGCTGGACGAAAAGCGACCACAAAAGACCTAAAAAGACTATGTTAATTTTTTACCTCTAAATGTGACCTTCACCTTGGAGGTAGGGATGCATGTGTTGCGCATGACACATCCTCTTATTATAGTGACCATTTGTGCAAAGTATTTTCAAAATCCTTTGATCTATGAAAAAGTAATGGACCGGACACAAAATTTACCCAGTAACAGACTATGTAAGTATTTGACCTCCAAGTGTGACCTTGACCTTGGAGGTAGGTGACAGGTTTTTGCGCATGACACATTGTGAACAATTATGGCAAGTATTTATAAAATTCCTTCATAGATAAGAAAGTTATGGACTGGACTCAACATATACCCTCAAACAGACAATGTTGACTTTGAATGAGCAAGTGCGACCTTGACCCTGAAGGTAAGGGTCTGGTTGTTGCACATTTTTTACCTCTAAATGTGACCTTGACCTTGGAGGTAGGGATACAGGTGTTGCGCATGACACATCCTCTTATTATAGTGACCATTTGTGCAAAGTATTTTCAAAATCCTTTGATCTATGAAAAAGTAATGGACCGGACACGAAATATACCCTGTAACAGACTATGTTAATATTTGAACTCCAAGTGTGACCTTGACCTTGAAGGTAAGTGACTAGTTTTTGCGCATGACACATCGTCTGATTATTGTGAACAATTATGGCAAGTATTTAAAAAATCACTTCATAGATAAGAAAGTTATGGACCGGACACAACAAAATTATTCCCTCAAATAGACAATGTTGATGTTGAATGAGCAAGTGCAACCTTGACGCTAGAGGAAGGGGTCTGGTTGTTGCACATAACACATCGTCTTATTATGATAAACATTTGTGCCAAGTAAATGTTCAAATTCCTTTCATAAATGACAAAGTTATGGACCGGACACGAAAGTGTGATGGACGGACATTTATGAAGCAAATCAGCTCATAAACACCACCTGGACCAACGTCCATAAGAAAAATTAGCGGACAGACGTATGGACAGACGGAAGGACGTTCCTACGAATGGTCATTTATTGGGTACTTCTTTGGTTTAAAAGTACCTAATAAGAGAACAAAAGTACCCAACAATACTGACGGAATAAATAGAATTACCCAACAAGTGTCCTCTCGTGTGTTCAAGGTACCCAACAAGTGTCATCTCTTTCGCCCGGACGGACGGATGGAGCCTATTTCTATATCCCCCTTTTTTCTTTGAAAAGGCGGGGGACAAAAAAACATGTGTTAGTTTGCTTATTAATGCAGACATCGTTCTGCATAGTTCTTTAGATTAGCGTTGGCCATCGCCAACATCGGCGATTTGCCGATGAAAACTAAACAATATAAGCATGACTCCCTATTTTTTTCTCCTCAAAAAAAGGGCTATATTTTCTCAGCAAAACATGTCATGTACTTGCTGATTAGTTATATTCAACCATGGTTGTATAAAAAACAATAAAGAGGATACAGAGCTAGATCGATAACTATACATTGTACTGGATTTCGGATAATCGTTAATTCGTATAAAAAATATTGGTTGAAAACAAAACAAAAAACATGTAAGATAATATTACTTTTGGTGACTTATCTTTATAAAACAATTATAGTTAAGATTCCTTTAAAGGTAAAATATTACTTATCATATCATGTAAAAAATTACCAGAAGCTAAATGGAGAGGTATACTATCTTTGAGAATAAGCTTTACTACAATGTAGGTATATATGCATTTTACAGATAGACATTGTTACAGTATTCAAAACATACACATGTAGGAACATTATTTAAGGTTTTACTCATTTACAAAAATTTCAAGGAGTAAATTAAATGACTCCTAAAATTTTACTCGTTCACAAAAAAATCTATGAATATTTACTCATTGACCTAAAAAATTATCTGGAGCCCTGTAACACTAGTCTACTCTCAGAGTTACATGTAGTATATTTTGAACTCATAAAAATGCATTTAAATTACCAACACCGATAAAATGTGAACAGGAAGTTATCTGAGTGTGTAAACTTTTAAAACAGTTATCAGTGGTAAAGACCATAAAAACTAGATATATAGCACTATATAAAACAAGAGGGACAAGAAGGCCCTAGATTGCTGCCCTGACCCATCAACCACAACCGTGCAATGTCTTAGACAATCATCCAGACCATGTTTGAAGACAAAAAAGTGACCTCTAAAGTTAACAAAAAAGTGACCTCTAAAGTTAACAAGGTTTTTCCATATTTGGGCAGTGTGACCTAGTTTTTG